CTCAAAATCGGGATTATTCTTTGAGTTTTCTTGGGATCTTCAATTCCGTTGTGGGTTGCGTAGTGTTCCTTGCTACTTGATTCTCATCAATGTTATGCAAACAATCCTACCCCATAAGTTCGGGTTGGAGTTTACTTAGAAACAAAATATTCATCTAATTAACTTAGAAACAAAATATTCAACTATATATATATATAGTTCAATTATATTGTTAATTAAGTCCATCTATTGGATAAGAAATTTTATCCCTCCTCTAGTCACCATAAAAAATTACTAGGACTATACATGAAAGGCCACACACTTTCATTTTTAGGACTGTGAATTCATAAAATAAAAATCAAATCACTTTTTTTTTATTTTAACGAAATTGCAGCCTCATTTTGAACTGTGATTGATCCAATTTAATTGGCCATTCAGATTCGACCACAATGAACACATATTCTACATTTCACCATGTCAATTGGGTCGCGAAATGGTCACGTTGGAAAAGAATGGGGTGTGCAAACACGTAACTATTCTACGTGCTTTCTATGAACTATACTCGCCAAAGGTCATTTTCCTGTAAGTTCATTTTTTGTCACGGATATGTTTGCACATCGGGCATGAATGTATTTTGATCTAGATCAATCGATGGATATACTGTTTCTCTTTGGTTACCAAAAGATTTAATAAATCCTCTTGCCAAAAAGATTGAATTACCGTGAGGATTTATAAATCGAGGTTAGGAAAACCAATGGTTTTTTCTATCTAATGGCAACATATTTAATTCAATTATATTAGCTATTTAATATATACGGGCTAATTGAGTAGATATCAATATTGTTATAATTAGGGGATTATGGGAAATCTAATTGAGCAATATATAAAGACCTTTTTGGTTATGGTCCTCAACACACCAAATTATACATAGTTTTCCTTCTTCCCATCGGAAGAGAGACGGCGGTCCCATTGAGGAAAAAGGCGTTTTGGTTGAGGAAGATCACAAACCACACCCCTTCGTTCGTGTTCATCAATACGTGTTCGATTGTCGTAGTAATTCTGCAACAGTAAACAA